AGAGAGTTAGAGAAATAAAGGGATAGAGAGATAAAGAGATCGATAGATGGATAGATGGATGGATAGATGAATAGATACAGATAGAGAGATAGAGAGATAGATCGATAGATGATAGATGGATAGATGGATCGATGGATCGATGGATAGTGGGTGGATAGATGGATATATGGGTGGATAGGGATCGATAGATGGCTACTGGTAGATGGACAGATAATGATAGGTAGATAGATGGATAGAAAAATAGCTAAACAAAGACACACACACACACACCCACACACTTCGAAAGGCAGGTTCGGTATTTAGTTTGGCAGGCATGTGCAAGAAACCAGGAAACGAGGATGATGGATGATCCTTTGGCGCTTGAAACCCATGGGTTTCCCAGTGAAGTGGTAAGTTCATGGTAAATTCAAGCACGAACCTGGTGTTGATTGCAGCTGACTCGATCCCGAGGCGCTTCCATATGCTGGCCCCGAGCTTAAAAAGGACGCGGCCCTCCCAAGAAACCCTGGCTGTAACGGAGTATAACCCAGGCACTAGGTAGTCAAGATTGGAATGCTGTTGGGAAATAATAGCGTGGTATTAGTTTTCAAGACTTGGCAGCTGTTGCAAAAGTCTGTCACACTCAGGCATGTGAAGTAATGCGGGACGTGAGGTTTGTTCCCGTGAAATATATTCGGCGTTTCTGCCCGTTTCACTGGTAAATTGAAGCAGCTGCAACAGGATCATGATTCACCGAAAGTTTTGGTGGTTATCTCCCCATTTTTGTTGTTCAAATCCAACGGGGTGACAAGAACATGATTATCGGATGAGGGTGTTGATTGATTGCCCAACTCTTTGAATCAACTCCCAAGTGTTTGATGGCTAACCCCCCAAATTTTCGCAGATTTTCTCAAGGCTTCGGTGGCGGATTTTCCCCCTGCAGGAGTGGGAGGAAATCCTCACAGGCCGCTGGAAGGACGAGGGCTGGCACCTTGAACGGCGGCAGGCGGGGCAGATTCTGAGCCAGATCAAGACCTGAAGACTCGGTGAAGACGTCAGGATGTACATATTTTTTTTTGCGGAGATGGGTCAAACAAATGAAAGGTAAGTGTGGGTATGTGTATTTTTGGTATTGTTTGATTGTCATCATTACATCTTGCCTATTGTCAAAGGTTTGCTTGTCCAAATTACCAAAGACCAACACGCATAATTTTATGATGTATATTGATGAATCTTAATTCCACACCCATGTCAGTAGAGGGCTAGGCAACTTTGAGTGTTGCCGACTATCCACGTTTGGTGCCAATTTGACCTACATATTTTAGGTTCCGACCGCGTCAGAAAACTGACGGCGTTCGGAGTCATGTTTCACAATTGATACATAAGCGAGCAAAAAAATTGCTGATTTCACCAAATGGACATGGGGATTTAATGGAATCCAATGGGGCTTGATTGGTTTAACTATCATTTAATTCGAATTTACCACATATTTGGGACCATGGAATGGGGGTGTTTAATGCTGGTGTGTCGGAGCGTCAACTATTTATGTAATTATGTCCCCACCTGCCAGGTGAGGGTCTCCAGATTTTAACAAAGATGAGGAAAAAGTAAAAACATCGGGCATTCTATTTCAAATTCTATCTGACATTCCATCTAGCATTCCATCTGGCAGTGTTTCTGGCATTCTAGTCTGACATAGACTCCAACTTTCTGACATTCTATCTGGCAGTCTTTCTGGCATCCTATCTGACATGTGTTCGGGCGCGGTACAGTGTCAGAATGTATATATATATACACATATATTTATATATCAGATAGAATGCCAGAAAGAATGTCAGAACATATGTCAGACTGAATACCAGATAGTATGCCAGAATAGATTCCAGATAGAAGGCCAGCACATATGCCAGATTGAATGCCAGAAAGAACGGAAGAAAAAATGTCAGAATAGATGCCACATAGAATTCCAGATAGAATGTCAGAATAGATGCCAGATAGAATGTCAGAACGACAGACGGAATGTCAGGTAGCAGAATGTCAGAATATACGTCAGATAGAGTGCCAGATAGAATGTCAGATAAAATGTGCGAATATGTCAGAATATATCTCAGATAGAATTTGAAATAGAATTCCAAAATACTATGTCAGGGTGGGGATCACTCGAAATAAAGCAATTTGTTTATTTGTGAGTGGCGATCCCCAATCGCAAAAACCATTCCGTGATGGTTTGAGGCTAGGCTCCAAGTCAGATTCCCGCCATTCCAAGTGATGAAACCCAGAAAAACATGGGGCAAATGTCAGGAAAAACGACAGCAAGAAAGGACTTACTCAGATTCATGGTTGACACCATGGGCGAAAATTTTTACAGTATGGTTGAATTGCTTTGGTGACTTCCCAAACGCTCGAATTTTACACTTCGAATTCCAAAATCGTTTATTTCCCACCATGGAGCCATGGCCAGCAAACTTCCGGCGGCGCTACATTTGTTAAGGGCCTGGCAAGCAGAGAGCAACCAGGAGGGTGGCTGCCTGTCCAACTGCCAAATCTGACGCTTTGCGGCACACGGGAGTTGGTGATCTGATTGTTTTCTTGATTAATTAATCGGAACAAACCCGTTACCGTTTTTTGATGGATTTGTGTAACCATGGGTAGACTTAGCTAGCAGTTTGGTCCATGACTTCTTGACTTGCAGTGTTTGGGCGTACACATAGTTTTATGCGTGCACGTTAGGTTCGATGGCTCAACTGTCATTTCTGCAAGGTGCACAATTGGCGCTGGAACAAGGAGACGTCCAACAAGTCTCAGCACTGTGGTCCCAGGGGGCTTCATTGCACCTTGGCAGCAAGTCAACCCATGTCACCAAAGTTTCGTTTCAGCAGCAACGCTTTCCCAGGACCCACAAATGGTTTCGATGTTGAATGTCGGAGGTTCCGCCAAACAGTCTTGCATAGAAAATCATTCCATATTCACTTGGATTTCCAATATATTTTCTTGGGCCAGTTGCTTACTTGGATGTGCATCCCACTTAGTAAGTGGTTTCTAACCTATATATGAACCATATAATCCCATATATACATATATATATATGTATACATATAATAGTGGATATTCCATATATAACTGGTGACTGGCACCCATGAACCCATTTACTAAGTGGGATCCCAGTGACTCACGATCTGCTCGCCCAGGTACTTTGATTTTGATGACCTGGACCATCAGGAAGAGCAGCTGGACACCCAGAAAGACCCCTACCCGAGCGTCAAGGAAGTCCCGTCAAAGCCAAGGCAGCGGCGGGTCCAGGGCCTTGACCCATGAAGAATTCTGATGTTTCGATTTTGATTGGGTTTCCTCTCGTAATTTAACATAGCTATTGAACATGGCCCATTTATAGTGGATTTACCCATTGAACATGGTGATTTTCCATAGTTATGTTAGTTTACCAGAGGGTAGATTGGGTCAGTTGAACGATGTTAAACGCTTGCATCTCATGGTTGCTTTGAGGTGTTCCCTGTAGATTGGAAAATTACAGACAGTGGGGTTGGGCACATTATGTTCTTTGCCGGAAGACCTCATGGAACCAAGCATGAGTCAAAACTAATGACCAGCCAGCTTACAGATTTCGCCAAGATCAAGACCCACCAGCTGTTGGTGAAACCTACAATGTGGGGCCCCCCAGTTATAAGTTGGTTTATAAACCCCATTAACTATTGTTATAAGTACAATAAACCATAGTTATTGGACTTATAAACCAACTTAGCTATCTAGGGGGCCCCACATTGTAGAATTGTAGGAAAAAAACTGGCGAACGCACCCCTTTCTCGTGCAGCTTACCCAATGACTTGACCAACCCGACCCATGTTGAGCCGTTTTTTTTTCTGTGAGGTTTGTTGATGGTGTCGTGACCCTGCGCATCGTGGCAGCTCCTTGCTAGAACCATCGCTTTTTTGCTGTGCTAGGCATGGGATGGATCTGCTTCCGAGGCGGCTTCAGGGGTAAAACCAATTGCCAACTACCAGCATGTTCAAGCTACTGCAGGTCTTAGGTAGAACAGAACATGTCAATCGAACATGATGATACTTGGAGATCTTTGATGTAACGCATCCTTGCGGATGGCCACATGCGAATGGCTCCGGCTGATTTTGAAGGTCTCCAAACGATAGCCCAACTGTCTGAATGCATGGGATATGACATTTGCCGCGGTCCAAAACCTTCGCCTCGCGAACACTCTTGGGTTCATGTCTGTTGAGTTTTCCTCTAGGGTGCGCTCAAACGGTACCGGCTCACCGCCAATCAATGTAAGGACGCAAATGAATTTCAGAACGGAACGTTCAAAACCAGAGAAAAATGATCAAAAGTGCAAGATCCGCTATTTTAGTGGCAAAGTTTTCGCCTGCGCATTTTTACAGCCAATATGGTCCCACTACCAGCGCTGCCACAGTTGTAGATGGGCCATATGGCATTCATATCATGTATGGCATATGTTGATCCAGTGATCTCCCGTTCTGTGGTTCCGGGGTCCACTGGATTGAGGCCATGACTGGTGAAGATGTGTGCACACTTTGCAACACCGCCATGAGTTCGACCATCCGAACCATCAAGGATGGGGTGCTTCCCCCCCATTCAACGACCACTAAGAAAAGATAAGACATATAAGTAAGTTATGTTAAATATATAGATATAAATGATAATCAATTGCATATCAAACCGCCCCCTCTATTTTTCCTAAGAGGACGGACAATTAATATTCTCATTTTTTGGGGTGCCATGTTAATCTGGGCATGATTTTGACCTGGACCTGTGGGAAAAAGAAAGCAGGAGCGCATCGAAAGACTCGAGGGGACCACCCTCAACATGCAGAAGTTGTTGGGTCCACGTGGCGAGGCACCCGGGATGGGATCATGGGACCTCGAAACCACGCTGTGGACAGCAGATTTGCGAGAGAACGGCAGCCAATCTTTGCCTCTTTTTTTCGCACAAAAAAACGGCATCCATCAAAATTCAGAGGTTCATCTGCGTTCGAGATGGCTCTGGAGTCTCTGACTGACCGAAAGTGCTGCAGCAGCTGGCAGGCGACTCAGGACCAAGATCTCTTAGTTGACATCATCTCCGATGGACCTCCACAGCTGCTGTTTCTACGGTCGCTGCCCTGCTGGGCAGGTGGGGTATGGAACACGTCAGTATGGATGAACTGCTGTTTTCTTCTGATACAAAACTATACACCAGTGGGACATTTGGAAATATGAGGTAACTATCATCTACAACATCCTGGAAACACTTTTTCCTTGTTTTCTCCCACCAGCATGAAGCTGATCATCCATAGAGTTCGATGAGTTTCCCAGCTATCAACATCTGACTTCTATAAACCTCTGCAAATGTCTATAAACATCCATTAGCATCCATAACTAACCTCCATAAGCATCCATAAACCTCCATAAACTAATCTCCGTTTACTTCGGGGATTGGGACATCGCCTTCTTTGACGTAGGACTTCTGGAGGAAATCCGACGCGGCGAGGTGGAGTTGCAAGATTTGGACGAAGGCCGGGATGGAATCTCTGGGGAAACCCCCAACACAAAAGGACGAAATTCCCGAGCAAAAATGGGGATTTACCCAACAAAAAGGTTGATTTACCCAAGAAAAACTTGAGATTTCGGGATTTAACCAACAGATCATAGGGATTTTGCCGAGCAAACTTGGGAATTTAAATTGGGATTCAATGGAGATTCCTCTATAAATACCCTCCGGTAATCTAGCTATGGATAAACGGCCATTTTGAATAGGTAAATCCTCGAACTAAACGGGCCATGGCTTTCATCGCTATGTTATGTTAAACTATCAGAGAGTGGAGGTTTTTGTCGCTGGGTAAATCCCTTAGTGACGGATTTTGCCATGTTTGATTACCAGAGGAGAATCCCCAGAGACTTACCATCAAAAATGGTAATGGGACCAATGAAAACTTGGGATTGAACTATGGGATTATATTCCTGTGGATTTTTATATATATATATATATTATATAATTATATATGTTAATATAGGAGCAAACACTACTGTAAATATGGGATATGATATATTGAACATATTGAATCATATTGAATCATAAAAAACAGATAAAGACCTGAATGCCTGGGGAATACTGTCCAACTACAATCCCATTCCCCGTTTCCCCGTTCTTTTTGTGCCCAGAGACCATGGTGGATGTGATGCCATTTTTGCCATGAGGCCGTTAGGTCAAGAAAATGGTGGTTGAATGCGACTTAATGCCACTTTACCCGCAAAGTTATGGGGATTCAAAGGAAACATCATTGATTCTGTGGGATATCCAATGATATTCACATACCCTGCGCACACATACCCTGCGTAGCGCTTGTGAATTTTATGCCGCTGATGTTGCGAGAAGTCTTGCGAATGACCTTGGCCGCGGTAACATTTGCTCGTGGCCGCCTTTGTGACCCTTAGTAACTTAGTTTTGGCCCCTCCATACACATACACACACACATATATATATATATCATACATATATGATAATAGATGTAAATAAGATTGGCAATGATGATACCTAAGCGAATTCTAATCTGTCAATTTACATGTTCAAGTGGAACATATACTTACTTGATCTTACTTGTCCTTACATGAGTTCATTCTGACATTGATGCCAGACACTGTTACAACTGAAGCGCGACATCCGCAAAAATCAGATCACCTTTGAGTCTTTGAGGGTTTAATAAGTCACAATGTTGAAGAAGCAGCCGGAATCTTCACATCTTCAGACATTTGCTTGTTCTGTTTTAGTCTCAGTAACATTTTTCTCTCCATATTTACTGGTGAGAGTCCTTCCGCCACTCGGATTGGTGAGACCCGATGCTGGCCTGGTTCTCTCAACGAAACAAAACACAGACACACAAATGAATGCAAGGACACATACGGTAACTAACACAATACATGAGAAGCAAACAAGAAATTTTGTAGATACACCACGAAAACATCACAAATCAAGTTACACACACGTATATATATATATATATACATTTGTATCATATATACAATTATATACATATACAATTATATATATATATATACATTTATCATTAAATATTTACATTTATCATTATATATATATACATTTATCATTATATATATATACATTTATCACAAGTTTATGAAATTCCCAGGCCTGGGTGATGAGGTTCCATTCTCCCTTCAGGCGCTCGCAGCGATCGAGGCTTGGTGCTGGTGGCTGTGAGGGCCAGTCAAGGGAGAGCTTTGGAATATGCGCCTGGGTGTGGAAACAGGGAGCTGTTCCATATCTATCTTGAAAATGAATGGGATGATTTCCATGTGCACAATGAATAAGATTGTTTGGCCAGGAAACAGGGATGATTTGTTGAAACAAGATGCAGATTTCTTGCATTTCCGCGGAAATCTCCGGATTTTCCGGGAAATCACGTGCATCAGGATTTTGTGGTTGCATTTTTCAACAAAAACCGTGGGAAGAAACATGTAAAAAAAATGTCATGTATCCAACATACAATTATTGTGGGATATTATGGGTATTTCATTGTATATCTACAGAGGCGGTGTAGGGATAATCAACAAAAGACATATCTATCTATTTAACTGTTCAGCAGCAGATGCGGGAATCTCACCAGGCAGAAAATGGTGCTTGTTGATATTGTGGTTGAGAGATTCTCTACGTAAAATCAAATGGTGGGTTGAAGTAAGAAGCTTGGGGTGCAAGTAAAAGTCATTAACGGGGAAAAAAAGGTGGAAAGCACGCAAACACAGAATGGATTTTGCAGAAAGGACATGGCAAGCAGCAAAACTGGTGCTGACCCCGTCAAAGTCAGCAGAATATGGATATCCCAATGATTGGGAGCATCTTCAAATGATGATTGTGGGATGGAGGTCATAATGAAAGTCACACAACAGGGTGCCCCACTCATTTCAGCAACTTTGATCTGAGGCATCATGGACCCTTCGCAACGACAAGGTGTGAGAACTGACGCCTGCTTGACTGCTTGGAGCAAGCGGGAGCCACCTTGTAAGCGGAATGGGTGGAAACCAAGCGATCTTGAAAACGTGGTTTTGAAATGTTTTGAATAGTTTTGATAGTTTTTGACATTTTTTGACGATTTATGGGTCCCTTGCATCCATTGATTCAGCAAGACAGATCTTAGTTTTACCTCTGGGAGCTTATGATTGTCCGTCAAGTCCCAGCTCTACTTAGTTCACAACACTAGCCCGGGAAATTGGCGGAACTCCCATGGTGCTTGATGCGATTTTGCGTTTCTTGCGGTCCTTATTACCCTTTCTGAGAGGTGCTCATCACATCTTGCCATCCCATTTTGACCAACTGAGAAGTTTGGTAGCTTGCGAATCACATTGGTATCACTGAGGGCATTCAAAGCATGCTGTAACCGTGTTAGTTCATATTGGTTACTACCCCCTGCGAGGCTTTAGTCTTAGAGGCAGTGACTCGCAACGGCCTTTCCCTGCGGCATGCAGCAGCCAGCCTGAGGGGAGACCGTCACACGGCGGGATGTTGAATTTCCCATGGGTCAGTTGAACCTACGAAATGTTGAGAAAGCCTAGCACTCAATGGATGTGTCCTAAAAATAGGGCTACTCACGGCTACTCCTAAATCATCCATTTATAGATGGGATTTTCCATTATAAACCAACTATGTTGGGGATCCGCCATTTATGGAACCCCCAAAATGGAATTCTCACTGCACAAGATTGGGGTAACAGGTACATGAGTCCGCAATGGGTCCTCTTAGGCCTTCGGCTACAAAGCCATTGGCTGACAAAATAGTCTTGCGTTTGCCGTTGGCTGCCAACCTAGCTTTGAGGGCAGATAGTTGGCCCTATACCAGGCCCTATAGGGCCCTGGTAACCAGCGGTTGATCAGGAATCAGAGATGTTCAACATCAATCTCGAATTCATAATATTTCCAGATTAGCTACTTCAACCACCAAGAAAATCAAGCAGGTTTTCACTCCACTTTGGCTTTGATGTTTATGAATCTTCCATTTGCTGGTAAACCTGCGTCTGGTTTGTGGTTTCAAATGTTTGTTTTCATTTTCAAGCAGGTTTGGACTGATGCTCCCCAATGACTTATTTCAGGGGGCCCAACCCACCAGCTATTTTTGTCGATAGTTAAACCTCCACATATCTCCACATGACTTTTGATAAAACCCAAGATATGTGAATCTTACTGTTACCTCATTATTTTCGAGCTAAAACTCCATAGTTCAAACATCACCAGGTACGCTTCTGAACACCTCTTTCACGTTGACTCTTGCCCCTTCTGAACATAACATGTTTTCATGGTGAAACTTGACTTCTCTCAGAATTGGCGAGCAAACATCTGCAGGAAGTTTTGGAAAAAAACATGGGAAAAAACAGTTGTTTTTGTTCAATATTCTGTTCAATCATCCCAATGACATGTCCATTCATTGTCGGATTCGTTGATCATCCCCATGATATATTCATCAAAAATATCCCGATCTAAGCTTCACATTTTCTCCCACACTTTTTCCATGATATCCCCGTGATATGATATGATATAATATTATATATGTTACATAATGCATTCTGTACACAATTGATAATTATGACCCTCTCTCTCTCTCTATATTCCCGTGATATCATCCAACATATGCCGCCTCCTCCTTTCACAGATTATCCCATATTATCCCATCATACCCCCATATTATCATATATTATCCCATATTATCCCATTATACCCCCATCATATTGCCATGGCATTGATCCCCCATATCCCCACGGCCCGGGACAGGTGACGTGGTGCTTGCGGCGGTGCGCGACTGCCCCATGGCCCTGGAACACGCCAGCGAGCTGCTGCGCCGCGACCGTGACTTCGTCACCATGGCCATGCGCATCTCCGTGCGCGCCGCGGGGGGCTTGAGCCAGGTGTGGGGATGGGGGGATGGTGGGGGATGGTGGGGGATGGTGGGGGATGGTGGGATTGGGGGAAAATGGTGGGAACACTTTCAAAAAATGAGGGATTGATATGGAAAATGTTGGAAGATCTTGCATTTTTGACTGGATTTCTGATGAGTGGCGTGATTCAGCGGTTTCAAACGGCAGGTCAGATTCAACACTGATGCATGATTGGCTGAAGAGCTGAATAATCTTAAAGTATCTTAAAGTCTCATCACCTAACTGCTCGGGAATACACATGCAGTCAGCAGGATATTGGCACAGGGGCCAGTCAATTTTCAGCTACTACAGACTTTCAATTCCATGCAATCTTGGATCTTGGCAGGTTACCCTAGGCTAAAACCAACATAGATGTGGAAAAACCACCATTTGTAGAATATTTTCCTGGGGAAAACATGGGTTTTCCACGTCTGTGTCAGTTTATCCTAGGGTAATTGACCTTTGCTGCGATTCAATTGACTGATATTTTGATACACAATTGGATTGAATTGTATCAACGCCCATTTTTGTACAAATGATTCACCATCATTCACCATTTAGTTGATGTAGTTGATCTGAAGTCTAAAGTTTCGGTGTGTTTCGTATGTATATATATATATAATTTCCATCATATATCGGTAGTTATTTATCACAGCTATGGAAGCCATAGCCCATTCAGTTCGATGATTCCCGGCGCAAACTGCAGCTTGAAACTAGCTGAGGCATGCTTATCTCCCATGAAATCCCAAAAGATATGCAATATGTTGATGGCTAAACCATGTAAATCCCACCTCTCCTTCAATGGGTTGGTTGGAAAATTTGGCTGCAGGAGTTGTCCTCGGACCCCGCCTTCGCTGGGCGCCTCCTAGAGCTCTTCCCCAGCGCCTTGGTCTACCTCTCTGAGAGCCTGCGCCGGTCCAAGGTGCCCCGTGCCCGGTGTGTTGTGCTCGGTTGATGGCTAAGGTAGGGCTGTTATAATGTGGTATAGATATAGGCGAAAATTTCAGGATGATGGGATTTAGGTATCGAAAATTAAGGATATAAGGTGGATTATGGCATTTAGCAATCTATTCCAGAAATGGGGTGTTTTCATGGATACATGATGGTCGATGGGTTTCTATACCAACTGGCCTATCGCCGACCAAGTTTTGATGAAATATGATGGGATGGGATAGGAGTATCTTTCATGTTGGAGGTTCCTGTGTTTTTGGCAGTTTCCAGGCCGACAGTGTTCAATTTTTTTGTGGAAAGATCATGCCTTTACCCTTTTTGGAGATCCGGAAGTGAGCAGATCCGCTCCACTGTGGTTTTTGGGCAGGTGTTCAGTAGAAGGGATCAATTTACAAGGAGTAACTACCCCACATCATTTTCCCAGTCTATCCACATAAAAATCCGTGGACTATGGCCGGCAAGGTGTTCCCCAGTGATGTTTCTTGGTTTAACTCTCCCCATACTACAACTAGTTCGATAAATATCTACCCTCAACCCAAGAGTTATGGGAATTGTGTTTACTAACTTGGTGGAATCGAACCATAGTTACCCTATATATTTATTGATATTGAGCTCCATTTATCAACTATCATAGTCAATGAACTTCTATGGGGTTTATGTTGTAACCTAGTTAGTTAGTTAGTTAGCTAGTAAGTTAGTTAATTACTCAATGTTGGTAAAAGCATCAATTAGACCATCCCCCATTCATCACCATGTTTTTTTCGGTGGTCTATTACTTAACCATTCCCATGGCATCGCCGGCATCGCCGCCGTGGGGCGGCGGCGGAGGACTTCATCCTCCAAGCGGTGCAGAAGAACGGCGAGGTGCTGCGCTATGCCTGCGGCTGGCACTCAGAGCCCGAGGTGGTGCTCACGGCCATTGAGAAGGCCATGGTGAAGTGCCGTTGCTGCGGCTGACCACGTGGTGGTTTCTGTAAATGGGGGGTGCTCCAAAAATGGATGGTTATGGAAAATCCGATTGACATGGATGATTTAGGGGTATATACCCCCATTTTAGATAGATAATAACCATCTCAGACTATGGGTTAATGATGTCAATGGTCTTTCATGGGAAGAGGAAAGGCTTACCATCTGATAATAGATTAGACGGATGGATGGAATAGAATATGGTGAACTGATAATGGATGGATAAGTGAGCTGGTTAACCTGTCATCCTCCCATCTATGGCTAATTTGAAGTGCCTAGGGTTAATTGTGCAGAGATAAATAGATCATAGATGGATGGAATAGAATAGATGAGATTAGATAAGATCAAATTCCATAATCGGATGATATATTAGTAGTATATATTAGTATATATACGTATATCATTATATATATTTTCGTATATATCGTTTTGTTTATATTGATTTTTATTTGTTCGCAAATGGCAGTTGCCATCACCAGTTTTTTTCTGATCCAAGTCTTGGAAGCCTTGACTCAGCAAGGGACAAGTCACGATAGGTCCTGTTGAACATCTTCACTTTTACATACCATACATGCAGTTTTTTGCAAAACAATGATATTTCTATATAGAATAAATGATATAAAGGAAATAAACTGATATAGAATAAATGATATAAATGAATACATGATATTACATTCTCTATGTAGAATAAATGATATAAATGAATCCATGCCTACTTTGATGCATGTTTTGCTGACATCGTGGCTGAACCACCACCAGTCAGTGTTTGTTCAATGTATATAAATATGCACAGAGCGGTTCCAACACCAGCAAGATCGGAAGAAGTTATAACTTGGCTGACATGTGCGCCCATCTAACCGTAGCAAGAGTAGTACACCTGAGTTTGCCTAGCTATAAGCCCAATTTTTGGTGGGTGAAATCTCCAATTGTGGTAGCAAAACATATCGAACGGCGGCCGTTTCAGGCCTCACATGCGGTGCACTACGTGGACAGTCGACTTCGACAGCGCGTCGAGTAACTTGGCGCTGTGCGGCGCAGAGTGCTGTGCAGTCCAGGTGTCACTGGCTGCCACTGGTTGATGACATACCTTGCATGTATATACAGATGTATATATATATACATGCGTGAACATAAATATAAACCTGAATATAAATATAAGTTTAAAATTAGATATACATACATATATATATAGACACTGTACAAAGACATGTGCATATATGGATGTGTATGCGTATTTGTACACATGTATCTATACAGAGAGAGAGAGAGAGAGATATCAAGATACAACTGAGTTATGAGAATGGGTATTCACCGTTGTGACAACTCGGGGACCATAGCTGAAACACCGAAGGTGCATGCAGGTGAAAAAATGGAAGTGGTCTCGAAAGGGGTAGCAAGGAGGGGCCGTCCTTAAAGTCCGGAATCGATGTGTTTGATTTTTTCAAAATCAATATGGTCCACCACCCCATTTATGGCCATTTGATTAGTACTAGGAAATCTCACGATTAACCATGGCGTGTGGGATTGTTCTTTAAATTTCAATCAAACCCTACATACTCCTTGGAGGTCGACATGCCTGTGCGTCCCGGAATGGTTTCAAGGGAACTGCAGGAACCTCAAAGTTGACATTTAGATTGTGGACCAATGATGAACACATTGTGAGCAAAACAAAAATTGACGTTGAATTTTACAAGTCGTTCTTCGGGCCTCTGCTCCTCACGCGACTATGGAACAACTTCTCCGTTCCGATGTTTCCTGCAGTTTTTTCCCCAGCTGAACCTTGAAATTTGAACTCTGACTAATTATCAAAATATTGGATGATAGCTGATGCAGCTTGATACAACCGATGACACTGATGAAACACAATAAGATCACATACCCATAGGATCCATGTATGCCATATATGGTAACATTTACCATCAATATACCCCCTTTATGTTAGCATATATACCAGCACCATGGATCCTATGGGATATAAGTATCTCAACAAACCCCGGTGGTTTCCCGCCATTCTTTCCGGTGCCGAGCTTCGGCCGTGCCGCGGTGCTGGTGAACTGCTGGTCCTTCGAGCAGCTGCCCTCGCGGCACCGGAGCTCCTTGCCGCTGGCCTTGGAGGCGGCACGAGCGCAGCCCGCCTTGGCGCACTTCGCCACGGAAGGCATCCGAAATGAAGTGGTCTATCTGATTAAGAAGGAGCAGCCCCTTGGACTTGGGATTTTTATGGATTTTTGTTGCCGGATTTTTGTTATAGATGATTGATGGTAAATGTTTTTGAAATGCCGAGCTGGTTTTGATGTTGGGTACTGGAGACTTTGGGCGGACTTTTGGTTGGGACATGCTTTTGGAAGGTTTTTGGAGCTGATTTTTATGTTAGGTAGTGGATAATCCCTGCTCCCTAGTACTAAAACCTTCCTAATAATGAACCCTCGGAGGATCCTGGAGGAGTTTTTCAGTATTAGGTGGTATTTAGTTTTAGGGCGCGAAACTTCCCCTAAATACTCAATTAAAAAGCTGAAATTGTTGATAAAAACGAAAAGCCAAGGTTCCTCCAACATTAAATCATTAAATTAACACCTTAATGACCAAACTAACGTTTCTATTGCAAAATCGGTTAATTAATTTCCTTTTTAAACCCGGACTAACTTATTATAAATTATTGCAAAACATTGGATTTCGAAGGTTCCCCCAATATTAAATTACAAACTTCAGCTTCAAATTGTTTTCTACAGCGGATCAATTAAACATCAAATTGGCCAGCTTCAAACTTCCCAATGTTGAAAAGGGGTCTTGGTTTTTAATATTTGGGGTACGTTTCGTAATAGGGAGAAGGGCTCATTTTTCCGGATGGTTGAGTGTTTTTTTTTCTCCTGATGTCTGTAATTTTGGGGAGTATGAACTGAAGGAGTAGGGTTTTGGCTCCTTTTTCTTCATTTCTTAGTAGAGGTATATACATGTTTTTTTTGTTGGACAGCAGCCTTGGATGGCTGCTTTAAAACGTTGCTTAATGTTTGTTAATGTTTTTGGTGTCGGCGCTGTTAAGGGGCCGTGTGCTGTCTCCATTTTTTCGGTTTTGTGTGTTCTTCTTGTCATTGTGATTGTTGGGGGGGTGGGGGGGTGGGGGGATGTTAACGTTCTTTGCGACTGCAAGGTCCTCTTGCACTTCCACACATACGTCATGCGATGCTACTGCTAGTTTCTCTTGCACATTCGCACATACGTCATGCTACGCTACTGCTAGGTTTCTCTTGCACATTCACACATACGTCATGCTACGCTACTGCTTAGGTTTCTCTTGCACATTCACACATACGTCATGCGACGCTACTGCTAGGTTTCTCTTGCAAATTCACACATACGTCATGCTACGCTACTGCTAGGTTTCTCTTGCGCATTGACACATACGTCATGCTACGCTACTGCTAGTTTCTCTTGCACTTCCACACATACGTCATGCGACGCTACTGCTAGGTTTCTCTTGCACTTCCACACATACGTCATGCTACGCTACTGCTAGTTTCTCTTGCACTTCCACACATGCGTTAAGCTACGCTACTGCTAGTTTCTCTTGCACATTCACACATACGTCATGCTACGCTACTGCTTAGGTTTCTCTTGCACTTCCACACATACGTCATGCGACGCTACTGCTAGGTTTCTCTTGCACATTCACACATACGTCATGCTACGCTACTACTAGGTTTCTCTTGCACTTCCACACATACGTCATGCGACGCTACTGCTAGTTTCTCTTGCACATTCACACATACGTCATGCTACGCTACTGCTAGTTTCTCTTGCACTTCCACACATGCGTTAAGCTACGCTACTGCTAGTTTCTCTTGCACATTCACACATACGTCATGCTACGCTACTGCTTAGGTTTCTCCTGCACTTCCACACATACGTCATGCGACGCTACTGCTAGTTTCTCTTGCACATTCACACATACGTCATGCTACGCTACTGCTAGTTTCTCTTGCACATTGACCCCTGTCATGCTACGCTACTGCTAGTTTCTCTTGCACATTCACACATACGTCGTGCTACGCTACTGCTAGTTTCTCTTGCACTTCCACACATACGTCATGCGACGCTACTGCTAGTTTCTCTTGCACATTCACACATACGTCATGCTACGCTACTGCTAGTTTCTCTTGCACATTGACACATACGTCATGCTACGCTACTGCTAGTTTCTCTTGCACATTCACACATACGTCGTGCTACGCTACTGCTAGTTTCTCTTGCGCTTCCACACATACGTCATGCGACGCTACTGCTAGGTTTCTCTTACGTCAATATTCATGTCACACAAAGTTTCGGAAACAAGGGTTGCCATTAAAAAATGCAATTTTATGAGGTAAAACGCTCAAAAATCAATATTTTCGGTGAACACTACGTGGTTTTAAGCTCATTGAAAACACCATGATATGATGAACATGTTGGAAAAACCCTCACGAAATTGAAATTGAACACTTATGATGGAATGTCGATCTTACACCACTGCACGGCCTCTTATCAACGCCGTTACCATGTTTTTGGATGTTAGAGACTGCCTTGTGAAATGACTTAAACAGTTCCAAAGGAAAAATCAACACTCATCTTTGCTTAGGTCTGAAGCGATTGGAGCGCCGAAAGGTTATGTGGAGGGCCCCGTGTGGTGGATACCTGAAATTTCGAAGCAACCGGAAAGGGCGGAAACACTGTCCACCGCGGGGAAAAAATGAGGGGCCAGCGGCACGGCCAGAGTGTCGTTGCCGGGCTGTTCTTTGGATTGTGTTGGCTCAGTCAAATTGGAAGTGAACAACTCATGTGGCAAACCCGATGCCATAACCCATCCCATTAACCAACCATCACTGGGGGGCAACTATCATCCCAGGTACCCAACAACAAACATCAACCACACAAATGCTGCAGATTTGGCTCAATATGGCACCTGTGGCGCAGTTCACTTTGAGCCAAGCACACGTGCAGTCACTATGTCACTATGCAGTCACTATGCGTAGTAGTGGCGTAGTGTAGAGAGTGGCACGCGATTGAACAAACTACAGCGATTGAAGGTTCCTTAGCGCCAGACAAAGTGATCAAACGTGGCAGCACAAATAACACGTAGAATTTGAGAAGCATAATTTTCCATTTTTTGCCAAACTGGAACATGAAAGCCAGAAGGTAACCATATGAAAGTTTCATAGGCCAGCAATCTTCAAGGTTGCAGGTGGGATTCAGCAACGTTTTGACCGCACCGGGCATGGGCAAAGCCGGAGCCGCCAAGGTGGGTTTGCCATGGTCAAGGTATTCCAAGGGTATTCTGAAGGTATTTAAGGATGACTGAAGAAATGGATAAACATGGCTAATGTCAATTTGGTAAATCCAATCACAAACCAATTCCAAAAACACTCAGAAATGGGTCCTATAAACCATCCCCAAATGGTACTGTACGTTTATGGTTTTGGCTTGCCCACATTACATCAGTTTGTGGAGCCATTCTTGGTCCCTGCGGTGCCATTTTTGTCTGATGGTCGCAGCCACAGGCTGAGCCTAAAAAGGAACCAGAGAAGGGCAAGGCATGGGGGAAATCACCGGTCATCATGTCCTCGTGCTGGGGGGAGCTGATTTTTTTCCCTCTCTCTCTCTCTCTCACTCTATATATATATGCACATGTGTTATATATCTACATGTGCATTTATGTTTAACCTTCAAACTGTCGGTTCTTTGTCAAACATTTGCGCACTTTGACTTCAGGTTGGTAAGATTATGATGGAATATGATTGAATTACCCTCTGGTTATTTAACATAGCCTTGGAAAATGGCCCATTTATAGATGGTTTACCTATTAAAAATGGTGATTTTCCATGGCTATGTTAGTCATAACCAGATGGTATATTGAAATAATTGCACCATCTGATGTATGACATGATGAAGTGGCAGCCTGCCGTGCAGGCTGACAAGGCGAAAGATGCCAAGGGTGGCAAGACTGAGGCTAAGGAGCCTGCCAAAGAGCCTGCCAAGGAGGATCCCAAAGCCAAACTGCCCGGGAACCCACTGGGGACGACCAGTGATTTTTTTCGCCACAGTTGTTGATGATGATTCTGGCGAAATTGAAGTCATATGTAGTCCCATTCCCTATTTGTTACTAGTCCTGACTTGCACAAAATTGAGCATATATATATATACTCATTTTAGAACTCGGAACATTCCGTTCAGGGTTTTTGTGAGCAAAACCTTCAAGAGAGGAACATAATGTAAGCCTAAGCCCCTTCAAACGGTGACTAAAAGAATCTAAAGGAGCTGTTGCTTTTGCAGTTGCTCTACACTTCACATGTCTCTGACATGGAATTGCACACAGTCAAAATCATTCAAAATCCATTCGCAAGCTTCATACTATATAAGTACCCCTCCATTCTATCCATTCTATCCATTCTGGTCCCAGTCATACGTGCTTTCATCATGGTTCACCCCCTATAAAACCATGGTTAATGTGGGTAAAACAATGCCATAAACCACCCCTGACTGGGAATGGTAAAGATACCACCTGTAAAAATGGTGATGACTGGGGGATGGTTTATGACATTGTTTTACCAACATTATTCGTGTATTGCAGCACTGAGTTTTAGACGTCCAGCGGCCCAGCGTCCCTGAGCCTGAGGCTAGAGGAAGCGAAGCAGAAGTATGCGGATGATGAGTGCGACTCCCAGCGGGTCATTTTTTGTTTGAAGGTTCATTATCCATCAATTTATTGGGTATATACATGGGATATATCTACACACACATATATATATATGGGATATCAACTTATTAATTTTTCAGAAGTATCTATACATATAATAATATATAATTATATATGCATATGTATATATATATTGATTGATTTACATGGACTTACCATTTAGAAATATCAAAATTACATAAATTATCCAACTGGGAATCCATTGAAGTTGGGTATCCACTGGCTTCATCCTTTTTTTCTGTTTCTGTATATCCATTTGTCCATCCATCAACCTATATATATATATATATACATATGTGTGTGTGTGCACCAAAAAATAAGGAGATCAGTAGACAAGTGCACCGATGAACTTCGCATGCATTTGGGATGGGATCTCAAAAAGCAACATCACGACGTGTCACGATGTGAAGGATGGCAGATCATCCCCAAATGACCTGATTTTAGGGCGGTGAATGATTTTGATGCACACTGTATCATACTTTATCCAGAAACAGGGAACAACCAACAATCCTACAATCTTGGAATTCATGAGGATTTTTTGTGGCATCATTTTTGAACAGCACCGAAACGTCGGATTTCACCCTTAAAATCTCACACAAACAACAGTCCCCTTAAATAGTAGTTCAAAATCACCATGAAATTCATGAACAAATCCCTAAAATCATGAACATTAAAATCACCATTAAAATCATGAACAAAATCACGAGACTTTCTGAGGAAACCCATGGGAAATTGCCGCCAGGAGGGATGAGCTGGCCAGATCTGAGCTGCTGGAAGCTGAGATCATTGCTGTGGGGTATCGCTTTAGAATTCACCACAGAGCACGAAAAAAAAAACGTAGGAGGCAAATTCTTTGCTACCAGCGCCGAGGCGAAAGCAGAATCGGGAAGCCAAGGTTCGACTGAAAATGATCCAAAATTGACAAAGACGTATGGATTGAATGGGAAGATCATGGGAAATTCCTTGGTAAATGATGGTAAATGCAGGTTTTAATAGGAACATCAACTATGATATCATCCTGGATTTGCTGAAGATGATTTGGCTGTTTTTTTTCTCAACGGAACATCCATTATTGGGGAATCGATCAGTATTTTTTTTTGGGGGGTGGGTTCTTTAAGCAAATCCAAGTTGTGTCCGAATTCAGACTTATTGGTCGAAGGGAACATCTCCAAGAAACATCCATAAACCTTACCCTCTGGTTATTTAACATAGCCATGGTATAGATGGCCCATTTATTGATGGTTTACCTATTAAGGATGGTGATTTTCCATGGCTATGGTAGTCATAACCAGATGGTAAAAACCAAAAGTTTCCTGATGGATTTTCCCGAATAAAACACCCCTCTCCGAGATCCATTGAGAATTTCACCGACCGGTGACCATTCAATTTGGTGCGACCACGAAAAGAATCAGTGAGGATGACACTCCAAATCCGTGTAGAAATTCGTATTGATTCATGCGGCTATATTGTCAAAGTTTGAGGCTTCCACCCAATATTACATGATAGTTATTACATGATATTAGATGTATATTAGGTGTACAATGATGTACATCATGTTGATTTAAAAACAATGGAGGTTTGAATTACATTGAATTATTAGATGTATATTATTTATTTATTTCAAATAGTATATAATATTTGCAATGGTTAATTGTTATATACATCTATTAATTCCAACCCCCATAATAATAATCACATCTAATATTTCAAATCCTCTTGTTATGCATGAGTTATCATATATATATATGACACACACATATACATATATATATATATATATCAAATCACCAATATATTATATGTACACACTATTATACTCATATGTACTAATTGTACACACTGATATATACAACTATTGGATGTGTTGTTTTTTCCACCATTAATTTAGATCATCGCTTCCACGCTTCCAATGTCGCCAGGCCAAAGGCCCTCAGCTCTCAGGGTGATCCTGGCAGCTTAAACTGAAACGAATATGGTTCTGTATATAGATACAGATATGTCATATACACATGCATGTAATATAGATAAGTATAATATATCATATTATATATAATTTGTATTGCATAAGATGTAATTTATATACACAAAACCAATTGCATGCCACTCTCTGTCTCTCTCTCTCTCTCTCCATAGATGAGACTAGACTTTGAATGTCTTGTGTTTGTTCGTTTCATGCTAGTTGGATGTCAAAATGTGAAGGAATCAAAGCAACAATGCCAGGAATCGTGACAAGAGCATCGCTCGAGTCACACGCTTCCAAAATAGGCGCAGGGCCAGATGGGATGGGTTATGTTTGGGCGCTGTTGATTGGTATTTTGCAAATGCTTCTTGAACTGTTTGCAAATGGTGTTTTTTGCAGAAACAACTGGAAAGAAGTGCCTGGATTCAGCGGATAATTGGAGGTAATTTAACAAGTTCAACTGTTTGCCATGGAAAACGGTTCATTTATAGATGGTTTTACCCTCCGACTAACATAGCCGAGGTGGAAACCTACCGTTTGTAGATCGTTTTCCGGAGGAAAACGCGTTTTTTTTTGTTCCCCACATCTATGTGAATTTACCCTAGGGTAACTCCCATAAAATCCCCCAAAATCCATCAAAATCCCATAAAATCTCCGAGAACCCATGAAAATCCCATTAAAATCCCATGAAAATCCCATTAAACCCTGTAGAACCCAATTAAAAATCCCATAAAAGTGTTGTTCCCCCCAGGGTGCACATACCCCTGGCGACACGAGTTGCCGTCGCAGGTTGAAGCTTTTTAAAGGTGAGGCTGAGATGGATGCGGTGATGAAAGACGTGGCCGCTCGATGGCACGACTGCCGAAAGGAGATGGCCATTTATATAGTAATGTGGTATAAATAAACAGTAATGATGCGGTTAAAACAATGTCATAAACCACCCTAACCACCCCATTAGTTAGTCAGTCAGTCAGTGAATTAGTTAGTTAGTCAATGTTGGTAAAACAATGCCATAAACTATCCCCCCAAATCACCATTTTTATAGGTGGTATGTATAAACATGTATAAACCATTCCCAGTCATGGGGTGGTTTATGGCATTGTTTTACCCACACTACAGTAAATATCCTGGAAATATAGTAACAGCCTGTAGTGTGGACAGTATCCTGTAAAAAAAAGATACTTTAGGACATTTGATAACTCAAAATCCATTACTCTGGGTAAATTATAACGACCTCACTGTTCTCCCTCACTGGAACCATAGTCAATAAGGGAAATCATCCCCAAATGGCCTTAATTCAGGTTAGTGAAATATGATAATTTACCCAGATTACTTAAGTTGGTATATTTAGCATTTCCCCAGATCGCTTTGTCAATGATCGGTAGCTCCTTGGATCCCTTGCTTCGTCCCATGAATGCACGGCCTCGGTGTGCCAAGGATTCTGTTGATGCTTCCAAGTACGTCTCTGTTGGCATCTCAGGGGAACCGGTTCAAAAAGGTATGCAACTTGGCAGACTGACCATGGTCAGAAGATCTATATATGCACACACACACATATATATATATATATGTATATATGTATATATGTATGTATACATACACAATTCATCGTAGAATACTCATATAGATCAATATCTAGACGGATGTTGACGTCTCGCACTATGTTCAAACCGTGTAATTACGTACAGTTCTTAGCAGGTGGGTCCTAAGACGAGTCTGACGAAGGTTGATATTGGTCATTGTGCCCCCACCTCTATAGTTGACAGCTTTCATCCTACATGTGGGAGATGGTGAATAGGCTTTTAACCAGTTGCAGCTGTGTTTTTGAAATACATGTTCTACCACTTAATGGTGAGCAATTGGGTCTTGGGTCATATCTCATGAAATATCCCGTTTTTTTTTTGAGAATGGATGCAACGAAATTGCTAACCATTTCTTTCCAACCTTCAGCTATGCGAGGTTACAAGGGATGACATACTGGCATATCAGCGATCACCAACCATCACTTCAAACTCCAGGTGTTGTCCGTTGGCCTTTTCCTTTTTCAGAGGCTTCCATTCTCATCTCCCATTGGCAGGAACTCACAGACTGCATCCTGGAAGCCGCCGGAAACACCTTGAAGCTCAAGGACTTGGCCCCGGGCGGTGGTACCCCCAGGTGGTACCCCATAGGATTCATGGATGTATCGAGCTAGTGACTGGGCTTCCAAAAGGAAGCGGTGAAGACCCCAGTTATTCATAACTGGGGTATGTCCCACATATCACTGGCTTATGATATGTAACTTAAAATATCGCAACATCATGAAATAATTCACCTACCAACTGGGGCCGGCACATGCTGGCGTAGTAATGTGTGGACGGATGGCCATGTCCTGATGAGCGACATTTATACCTGCCGCGCTTGCGTAGGAACTCAACGCCGTCAGCAAGCTTTGTAGCACTTTGGCAGCAATGGCAAAGCATACAGTACACAGTGATGCTGGTCACATGGGAGTATATCACGATTATATCATGATTATATACAATTATATATATATACGTACTTGATCATACTTGCATGATGCTTCCATATTATGCTCTACTCATATACTATTTTGTACTTTTAATTGAAAGGAAACACCTACATGCATAGGACCTAGGAGGGACTTGCCAGAAAGGAGTGGGCCAAATGGAAGTGATGCCGAGGCAAGCTCAACGCCACATACGAAGAGTGCCCGGCCTAAGCGGTTGGGCGCGTTGAAGTGCGAGATGTGGAAACAGCTTAGATAGGAACCTGGGAACCCCCGAAGAGATAC